TCAATTGGTACTAAGGGGCCCAAAGTATGCCAAGAAAATATCCCGAACAACATTACACCACCACCCCCAGCCTGAACCGTTGATACAAGGCAGGATGGATCCATGCTTTCATGTTGTTTAAGCCTAATTCTGACCCTCCCGTCCGAATGTCGCTGCAGAAATCAAGACTCAGCAGACCAGGCAACATTTTTCCAGTCTTCTATTGTCCAATTTGGATGAGCGCATGCAAATTGTAGTCTCAGTTTCCTATTCTTAACTGACAGGAGTGGCATCCTGTGTGGTCTTCTGCTGCTGTAGCCCATCTGCCCCAAGGTTCCACATGTTGTACGTTCAGAGATGGTCTTTTGCATACCTTGGTTGTTACTGTGGTTATTTGAGTTACTGTTGCCTTTCTATTATCTTGAGCCAGTCTGGCCATTCTCCTCTGACCTCTGGCATCAACAAGGCCTTTTGCCCAGAGAACTGCCGCTCACTGGATGTTTCCATTTTTAGGACCATTCTCTGTAAACCTTAGAGATAGTTGTGTGTGAAAATCCCAGCAGATCAGCAGTTTCTGAAATACTCAGACCAGCCCGTCTGGCACCAACAACCATGCCACGTTCAAAGTCAATTAAATCACCTTTCTTCCCCATTCTGATGCTCTGTCTGAACTTCACCAGGTCGTCTTCACCACTTTTTACTATCTCTTATTTTGTTGTCATCTTCTATTTGTGCTTGTGAACCATCTTTGAGCGTTATGAGAAGCGCTATAAATGTGATGTTGAAGCAGTTTTAAAAGTGTAGAATTGGAGGGTTAAGGATTTTGTGCCTAGCTTATGCACTGTATTAGCTTTTCATAGTATTCCTCACATGTAGCCCTTGTTAATGTTAGTGTTGTGTCCCTGCTGTGGATCAGTGTGTTTACCAGCGACCTGTCCCTGTGTTTCAGCCCCTGGCTCCCTGTCCTAACTCCAAAGAGTCCATGGCGGTGTTTGAGCAGCACATCAGCATGGCTCAGGAGTATTTAAAAGTCCAGTCAGAAATCACTCAGCTCCTCCTAAAGAAGTAAGTCCACACCTGCTATTACTTGATTTCGTATATGGTATATATTTTAAACTATGATCAAATCCAACCGTCTGTGTTTCCAACATACAGTGTGTTTGGTTGATATTGTGTATGTGCTTGGGTTGTGGGATCAAAATTGAACTATGGATTAGTTCAATATTCAAATTGAAGGAAGCACAGTATTTCATAAAGGGTTAGGGTTTAAATCAATTTGTGTGGAGCTGCAGAGATATCCTGGCCTACACATATTGTTCCATAAACAACAAAACATATTTGCTTGGTAAAGATACACTAAAAAGGATCACACTATGATCATTCAAATATATTTTTCAATAGAAGTGAGAAAAACGAGGCTAAAATGATCATTCGTTTCTATTTTGTCATTGTAATATCAGTCAAAAAGAATAGCTTTTTGTTTTACCAAATTGTGCAGTCCTATTAAAGAGTAGAAACAAACTCTCACTAACCTTGCTGTCCAATCAATGAGTTAGCTGTTGAGTCATGTGACTGCACCGTGAGAACAATTGTTTTGTTTATTAGAGGGAGATGAGAAAATGAAAATTAATCCAAGTACAGAGCTGGAGTCAGGACGTTGTTAGCCTAGGTTAGCATAAAGACTGGAAGCAGGGGGAGACGGTACGTAACTCTCCTCCTTGTTTTTTACGTTTCTGTTTGTGCAGGGATTGACAGTGATCTGTGAGGCTGGGCTAGCTGTTTTCCTGTTACTTCCGGTCTTTATTCCATGCTAAGCAGCCTTGACTTCTTATGTCACTGAGATGAAGAAGGCCAAATGAAGCAAAGAAATGTAGTTCCAAACATTTCTGTGTTGTCCTTTTTAGGCGTATGTTGTAAAAAAAGAATTGGTCAAAGCACCATAACTTCCATGATCTTCATTTGTCAGACACTATCGGTTGTTTCAGTGAACAGCCAAACGTTGTGTTATGTTCAATGTTGCAAGGTATTGTGGGACGAAATAATCTCCTTTCCTTTCACAAAGATGGTCCAGTGTTTCCTCAGCTAAAGGAGATTATAACGGAAGCATTCCTTTCCTATCATCATGGCTGACACTGAGGTATTTCAGGGTCATTTCCCCTTTGTTAGGAACCTTCCTAAACCAAAGTACTTTTTAAGTTGTTAGCCTAGCTTTGCATAAAGACTGGAAGCATGGGAGACATGTAAGTAACTCCCTGTCAAGCACTTTTTCTCTCTGCGCGTTGGTTTGAAAGTGATCTTGATTAGCTAGCCAGATTCCTTTTCCTTCTAGTCATCAAGCTATGCTAAGCTAAGTAGCCCTGACTTCTCATGTCACTGTTATGAAGAAGGCAAACTGAACCAAAGAAACGTATAGTTCCAAAAATGTCATAGTCCTTTGAGAAGTTTGCTGCAGTCCAAAAATGTGTCAAAAGAATTGTTACTTTCATGAGCAGTGTTTCCGATAACATTCAATTGTTTCCATGAACGGCCACGTTAAATGTTGCAGGTTCAAAGCATTGTGGGACAGCATTATCCCCTTTCCTATCACAGAGGATGGTCCTGTGTTACCTCAGCTAAAGGAGATTACAAAGGAAGCATTCCTCTCCTATCATCTAGAGATTTCAAACAGCTCTTATCATGGCTGACTCTTAAAAACTTCCGGGTCATTTCCCTTTGTTAGGAACGTTCCTAAATATATAACACTATTTGACGACAATCCTTGAGTCAGGGTGTTGTTAGCCTAGCTAAGCATAAAGACTGGAATCAGGGGTAACGGTATCTAACTCCCTGTCAAATTGTGTTTATGTTTGTGCATGTGTTAAGCTATGCTAAGCTAAGTAGCCCTTACTTGTCATGTCACTGAGATGCAGAAAGCAAGACAAACAAAGTCAGCATAATTCCAAAACTGTTGGTGTAGTCCTTTGAGACTTAGCACCTTCTCCAAGACAGAGTACATAACATTGTACGCTTCATATTTCATGCAGAACTCTGTACTGCTGCACTCTGTACGTGTTAGAGTGATCCAGAAATGATCCAACGGTGACAGTCAGATTTCCTGTCGGTAACGCAGTTTTCCCTGTGTGCAGAGAGAGCCTGATGTCGGAGCTGGAGCAGGAGCAGAGGGAGCAGCAGAGCTCCTCTCGCCTCATCCAGGAGCACGGCAAGCTGCTGGAGGACAACAGCAGCCTGTCTGCCTACTGCCAGACCCTAAGGGGCAAGCTGAGCCTGGTCCAGAGCCAGAACCAGCAGCACAGTTAGGGCTCGCCTCCGCTGCTAACCAATGAGAGGACTCACTCCATGAACTGAGCATACAGTAGGGAAGCCCGTTAACGCATCAAAAAAAGGATAACTGGTTACGAAGTGGGTCCAACACTGGCTCAAACAGACTTCCACTTTAGGATTTCTTTTGTTTTAAATGTTTAAAACTTGTATTTTTTTTAGGTACAATTCTGATCTTATGTTCAAAGCAAACATTTACAATCATTTCAGTTGATCTTTAAAAGAAATACCGTATTTTAGTTTTTTTAGATCATGACATTTAAACAACATTTTAAAACACTACGTCCATGTCTGGGCCTCATACATTTTATGACCATAACAAGTTATATGAAATTTGACATTTCACGTTTGTGTTTGTATTTTGATAATATGTTCAAAGCAAACATTTCCAATATTTTCAGTTTGACTTTAAAATAAATATGAGCAACTTTTGTTCTTCTTAGATCATGAAATGTAAACAAAAACAAAAGAAGCTACTAAATCCACGTCTGGGCCTCCGTACATCTTCTGACTATGAAATCGAATGTTCTTATTGATATTACATGTTGGTGATGGAATGCTGGGACCAAGGACACCCATATGAACTCTGAAATGGAACCAAAGGTGTCATGTGGTGGGAGGGGGAGGGGGGGGAACTTGCCTTGCCTTATAGCCAGTGAGTGTTATTTTTGGTGTATTTTTTTTTAGAAAAAGTAACAATTTGTAAATTCTTACTTTTCTATATTCAGTTGATCACACCCGTTGTATTGTGTTTGATGAAAAAAGGAAGGGAATTGTGGGCCGTATCATTTTAAACCAATTTGACTGTGAATACAAGCCTTACCAAAGGCTTTCTGCTCCAGAGACACGGTGCCTCGGAGCCAGAGGAGAGCTTTGTTAACGGCTGTTTGAAATGGAAATAAGTGTAGAATAATGAACCTGACACACATTTCTCTATCTGTTTAACTTTCTTTTTACACAGTTATATTTCACGGAATTATATTAACATTATTCTGCACTGCACTTATTTGGGTGAAAGAAAGCACGTGTTTGAGTGTCACTTGGTGCTTTCACTGACCGTGGGTTACTATGGGATGGATTGGTCATTTTAATTCATTTCTTCAGACGGTGCCTAAGGATTGTTCCTGTACAGTTCATTTTTTTCATCTCAGTTTATTTTATAAAACATTTGTCCTGTGATTTTAAAAATGTACATACTGCAATATATGCTTTTAGAAAGTAAAAACAAGGTTTGTACGATTTTGTCATTTGTCATCATTTAAAATATAGATTTTACTGCAAGTTAACAATTCTTTCTTAAGACAGATTCTTTTTCTTGTGACAAACACAATTATTAATTTCCGATCCAACACATTGTACATGATAGGCTAAGGGGCAGAACAGAGCCGGCTAGCTAACCAATCAGAGCAGACTGGGCTCTGGTTTCAGACAGAGTGTGAGAAGAGGTGCTGCAGCACAGGCAGTATGAGAGAAATAAAGAGCTTTTTGAACATTAAAGCATGGAGACGTGTCCGAGTAGAGACACTACATACTAAAATGAGCATAATATGTCCTCTTTAAAGATGCTTTATAACCACAGTTTAATTCAATACTTTCTCGATATAATCCACCTGTCTTCCTTCAGTCTTTATCTACAGAGGACAGCAGACTGACAGAGCTGCGAACACTGAACTTTTTACATTTTACAGGAAATGTTGACACATATTAATGCTGTCATGCTCTTTTTAATATACAGTTGCAAGAAAAAGTATGTGAACCCTTTGGAATTACCTGGATTTCTGCATAAGTTGGTTATAAAATGTGTTCTGATCTGCA